TAATTAAATTAAATTATAATTAAATGTTTGAAGGTTTAAGTTAATTATAATATGGTGGAAGGCTGCATTTTATTGGCTCCAAATCTTTTTGGTGGCACCTTTTTCCTTGGCAACGTTACCTGTAACCACGATGAAAATGGGCATGATTTTGTGTTATTCCTGGCAAAACCACCTACCGGCAGAAATAGGTACTTATTTAAACCAGAGCGAACAAAGGTTTCTCGGGGCTGAGATCTCAGATATATGCATAAGTATGGTGATGATAACAAATTTTGGTGGTGACTGTACTTTTATAAGGTTTTTTCCTAAGTTTTCATGCTGGTCCGTGTACGGAGATGGCAGTACGTAGAAAAGTTTCCTAAAAGTTCACAAATTTGGGACTTATAAGCGCGTTCATGTCTCCAGAATTTGAGCTTTTGTGTACCAGCTGCATTTTAACCGTCGTTTCGCTTCGTTTCAAAAAAAAGCACTGAGGTCAGTGAGGGACCTTACTCTAAAAAGTGTGACGAGAGGCAGGAAGCACGGTCAGTCGACGTATGAAGTGTGTTATCATGGATGGAACACACAAGCACGGTTAGAAAAAAGAAAGCATCGGTCTCACGTGAGAGAATATGAAACGGGTATAAAAGGCGATGCATGAGGAGGGACTTCACAGCATCACAGTTGCACCTGCAGCCACCAACACGTGATAGCAACATGAAGCTCATCGTAAGTAGACGTTCACTTCAGCAAGACTTTCGTGTTACCTGTTTCGACGCCGTGATATTGTAGCAGGGCGACTCATATGCAGAATTAGAATAATGCAACTTTAAAAAAAAATGTGTCTTGTAATAACATAAATAAACAGAAACTTTGCTCTTGATTAAATTAGGGGAAGAATTTTTTAAAATTATTATTATTTACTTCGAAAATTCTCGTCCGGTAGACTTTCCAGACTGTGTTCAGAAGCCATTTCTGGTTTTAGTGGTTTTGAAATTTAAGAGTTATTCAACCAGATAGTCAGTGTACGAATGTTAAAAAAATAACTGGCCAATTCAGAAGAGTGATTAGTGCATAATATTAGCGTATCTTTAGAAAAAAAGAAGTCACTAATTTAATCCTGACACATTCGTTAAAATTTTAAATATGAATCACTTCAAGATTTCGTGCTAAATTTTTAAATGTTTGTAAACAAGAATTTTACAAATATAAAATATATTTCGTACTAAAATCATGCAGAGCAGTGATTTGTTAATTATTTTTATGATTTGTGAAGCATTTCTCTTCGAGGCAAGAAAATTCAGAGCAAGTATTCTCTTGAAAAGACATGAAAGTAAGTGAGTCAGAGAGAGGTTAATGGTTTTTCATGGCAAAGAGGTTCGTGATTTATTGTTGGTATAGTCAGCTAAATCTGTGAGGTTCTAATTATTTGAACGGGAGGACGGAGGAGAACATTTGTGTTGTGAAATCTGCGAAACGGGTTTTTGGATAACGAGAAGAATTTGAGAGGATAATATTAAAATAAACTGAGATAATTTCATTTGTCTTAGCAGGTCCGCAACTTCAGTGGTGGGTAACGAAGTTTTAAATGCTTACACACCAGCGTTAATTTATTATTTTCAAAAGATCTACTTTGATGAAATGGCTTAACAATACGTAGTTAAATGTTTCGTATCGTTAGTCAAGGACGATTGATATTTAAAAGGCCGTGAAGATGTCACTTGAATTCGTTTTGTTAATGATCCGGTTATTGTGAGTGAGTGTCAACTGCAGCTTCTGCAGACACTGATCGACTGAGCTCACGATATATGTACGGGTAGACGAGGGCAATGTTGTGTTGAAGTTTCAGACTCGTATTCGGGACGCTCTCAGACGTAATACTGAGGTGAAACGTGCATTTTCTCCATCCATCCAATATAACTTACAGGAATTACCTTCATATAGTTCATGGTCACCTCCTTCCGAATCTCTGCTCTCTCAATATTAATAACCACCGTGTTGTCCCACTCGAAGAGTCATTAGTGGAAAAAGTGTCAACAAATGACGTAAGAACCAATAGGAATGTCAGGTTCATTCTGATTGGTTACTTCACTTCAGCGACTGTTTTACAAGCAGCTGGTGAAAGGAAAAGAGAAAGGAATTCAATATCGTGTCCTTATCTTTAGTCGTCCTGAAGACTCGTTTATAATTACAAGTCATATTTGAATACGGATGTCTAGTCGTTATGGTGAAAATACACGTGACAAGCTGTGAGTGATCGAATAGTCCAAACAGATTTTAAAAGACGTAGGAGCTATTAACCATTTTTATATCAGCGCAAAAATGGACGTTTAACAAGTTGTCGACTCTGAAATATCAAGGGGGAAGCTTTTCTACAATCGTTTGATTTTCATACGAAATATATTTTACATTTGTAAAATTCTTGTTCACAAACATTTAAAAATTTAGCACGAAATCTTGAAGTGATTCATATTTAAAATTTTAACGAATGTGTCAGGATTAAATTAGTGACTTCTTTTTTTCTAAAGATATGCTAATATTATGCCCTACTCACTCTTCTGCATTGTCCAGTTATTCTTTAACATTCCTACGCTAACTGTCTTAAATTTAATTAACATTAAAACCAGAACTGACTTCTCGACACGATTATGAACCATTTCTATCAGCTCCCTAACGCATATATCCATATCAACGAAATCCTCTGAGATATTTTGTTTTATCCCGGAGACTTTTAGTCCCCGTGCAGTTCAAATTAGCTCCAGATTCCGACAACCGTAACATTCTTGTCAGTTTTACAGGAACTGATAACCACTTTAATGTATGTCATCCTAAATGTTAACTTTACGTTTTTGTAGCTTCCGAATCTAGAAACATGTCTCACGAATAACACGAAGAGATAATTTTGTTAAAACGCTCCTAACAGGCAGTCATTGCTATGTACTTTATTGTAATATAAATAAGTTTCTAAAATTGTAATGTGATCTGCCTTTGCGTTTGTAAACGTCATATTTATCCATGTTAAAAATTATATCAATCCTCTGTTACAAGCTTAGCGTTTCTACACTGTAATCTATAACATGTTTGGTGGATACGTGAACGTTGGACTGTAGAACAATTCAAATCACAATTTGTAGACTCGGATGAAAACAGTTTTATTACGTGATACATTCTAATCGGCACACATCTTAAGAAAGGAAAACAGAACAAAATCTTAAAAGTAGTGTACGAAAAATTAAACTGCAAATTAAATGCCCTTAAAAATATGTAGAAAGGTGTTTTGTTCATCGTGATACCAGAAACTTCGTAACACTAGAAAGTTAAGTAAGTGCCGGAGACGTTACTTTTCATGAGGGTACAAAGTCATTCTGTCCCTAAAAAGACGCCAGGCAAAACACAAGCTTGAGTTAAACTGCTGGAGAAATTTTAAGGCAACTCAAGATATAAGTAGAATGCAATGTATCGATTTTGCATATTAGTTTTTCCTGAAAATTCAAGTAATTGAAATTAAACATTTAATGAAATGATGATAAGAATTTAACGAAAAATCTAAGCCGATTGCCAAAACAGATTCGAACATTAAGTTTGAATCCAGTTCTTCGCATGTTGCTAGCTCGAATGTGTAGAATTCAGCTTCTCAGGCCGATTAGTGAGAACGTCCTGCCTACACTAGGAGTGCCTCATGATATTTAAGTCAACTGGAGTCAAAGCAAGGTTGGCAACCACAGGAAACGGAGGAAAGACTAAGGCAGTCTGCGATTTTTCAGGTCTGCACGTTATTCCTAGCCGCCTTAGTTCTGGCTGAAGAGGACAAGAAGGACGACAGCAAGACAGTGAAGAGAGGATTGCACGACCTGGGCTTCGGAGGAGGGAGTTTCGGACACGGAGGAGGAAGTTTCGGACACGGAGGAGAATTTTCTCCAGTTTTAATTATCCGCAGTCCGAATGAAGTTAATCCCTATCTGCATATAGTATCGATTTTGCATATTAGTTTTTCCTGAAAATTCAAGTAATTGAAATTAAACATTTAATGAAATGATGATAAGAATTTAACGAAAAATCTAAGCCGATTGCCAAAACAGATTCGAACATTAAGTTTGAATCCAGTTCTTCGCATGTTGCTAGCTCGAATGTGTAGAATTCAGCTTCTCAGGCCGATTAGTGAGAACGTCCTGCCTACACTAGGAGTGCCTCATGATATTTAAGTCAACTGGAGTCAAAGCAAGGTTGGCAACCACAGGAAACGGAGGAAAGACTAAGGCAGTCTGCGATTTTTCAGGTCTGCACGTTATTCCTAGCCGCCTTAGTTCTGGCTGAAGAGGACAAGAAGGACGACAGCAAGACAGTGAAGAGAGGATTGCACGACCTGGGCTTCGGAGGAGGGAGTTTCGGACACGGAGGAGGGAGTTTCGGACACGGAGGAGGGAGTTTCGGACACGGAGGAGGGAGTTTCGGACACGGAGGAGGGAGTTTCGGACACGGAGGAGGGAGTTTCGGACACGGTGGAGGTGCCTCTTTCGGAGGACACGACGGCTTCAGTCTAGGAGGTCACTCCTTCGGCGGCGGAAGTTTCGGAGGAGGGGAATCCCACCACGAGAGTCACGTGAAAGCCATCACCATCACCAAGGAAGTTAAAGTGCCCGTCCCTCAACCATACCCAGTGCATGTGGAGAAGAAGGTCCCGTACCCCGTGAAGGTCCCTGTAGCCGTCCATGTTGACAAACCCTACCCAGTTCACGTCCCCAAACCATACCCTGTCTACGTCGAGAAGAAGGTCCCTTACCCTGTGGAGAAGAAGGTCCCTTACCCTGTGAAGGTCCCTGTGAAGGTGCCGTACCCAGTCCCTCACCCTGTCCATGTCCCTAAGCCGTACCCCGTGAAGGTCGCTGTGCCTCATCCCTACCCCGTGAAGGTGCCAGTCGTGGTGGAGAAGAAGGTCCCTGTCTACGTGAAGGAACATCACCACGAGGGAGGTTTCGGAGGAGGTCTGGAGGGACACAGCTTTGGAGGTCAAGATTTTGGAGGTCATGACTTTGGAGGTCATGATTTTGGAGGTCATGGTGGTTTTGGGGGATATCATTAATGTGGATGCAATGACGCTGAATATCAAATGCAAGCAGCAACGTTTGGCTCATGTATGTGCAATGCATGAGTTTAAAAGTGAATTGTAGGTTCTCAGCTGATAAGAACTAACAGTGTTCTTTTGAGGGAAGAACCAGAAATTACCTGAAATGAATTGTTTTCGTGAACTAGTCAATTTTTGAACCTGCATCTCATTGTCTGTCCTCCGTTATTCGTCATCAGCCAGAAGTAGAAACGCACATAATTATTATTTATAAAACAATTTGTCTTCATATAGCTTCACATATTATGTTTTGTACTTGAGTTTCAAATCTATAAATCATGTAGTAACTTGAACTTCATTCATTTATTATCCTCTAATCCCGAGACTTTCCTAATCTTTTAAATGACGTCGTTTTTTAAAGTGTTTGCCTCTCCCTTCTGAGCCTGAAATTTAGTTCTGAGACAAGAAACAATTTGTATCATATTTAATGTATTTGAAAGTTTTATACATCGTAAGGTAAAATATTGCATGTTCTTCGGCAGTTAGCCATGAAGAAGTAATGGGCGGAGTCGAAGTAAATACGTAAGTCGTCTAGTGCTCGTCAGTGGACTGAAGTCAGCGGCTGGCTTCACCTCTAGGATAAGGATTAAGGACTTATTCGGTAAAGACTGAAAGACAGTGGGGAGTGAAGTTGATAAACTCTCTGTCCCTGCCGAGAATCGAACCCTGGTAGTCCATCCTGTGGGCGGTCATTTTATAAAGTTTTAATATGCATCAAACACAGACACGAATTCTGGCAATTTTAATTATATTAAACACATAACACTGCGTTTGTTCCTCGGTGTATTTTTCGCTCATGTTTGCTAGTGGTTTGTTTGTTTGCTTGTTTGTTTGTTACACCTACGGGTCGAACATTGAGTGGGGACGACAGTAAGCATCTGTAAGCCATTGGTTTCCTCTTCAGTAAAGAAAGAAAGAAAGTTGCATTATTAGTCGACAAATATTGTCCCGTTTCGTCCTTACATCGTTGACCAAAAGCTGCAGTCGAGTGATTTTTACTTTGTGTTCGGAGATTAATTTTTCAAATATCAACCCGGAGACTGGTGGCTTATTCGAGATTTTTTCAGACAAACATGTCGATAGTATCTTAAATTTGGCCACGGCCGCTCCTTTTCCACTTCGTTTCCGGCTGTAAGTTACTTTATAATAACTGAATGCGTTGTTAATAAACCACGAAACAAAATCTCAGTAGGTCAGGACACATAAACAGTAATTCATTGTATAATTCTGTATAAATGTGAAATAAGTAGCCATAAATTATGAAAAAGTACGTAAATAAGATGCTCTTGGAAATTAATTTTTCTGGAGAATGTCTGGGCCGAGGACGGGCGAACTGAGTAAATTTGTACGTAATGCAGAAATGGTAAGAATTGTGGTGGTTACATTGAAAATATTGAACCGCGTCCACATTCTGCTTTAAAAACGTGATACAAGGCATGCAGGTAGCGTTCTGGCAGGCGCACGGTCGCCTTTCATTGGCAGTTGTTGGTAAGGTTCACTGGGGACAGGTCTGGGAGGAAATCCACTGGCTGAAGCGTAGATCTGGAATTAAGGTGTGTTTGTTTCTTATCGCCGGCATGTATGCTGCTTCTGAACAGCAACGCAGCCATGTAAGTCACTCTGGTTAAGTCTGTATTATTACTTAATTGACTGCAGGCTAAACTCTTGAGAATTCTGACTGATGTGTGTATTTATTTATTTATATACTGGACTTGAGTATACGCAGCTGTGATTATTTGTAGCCTCGGTCAATGTAGTTCTGTCTCTCCTGGTAACATTTGAATGTCGCTTATAAAGAACGTAGTTCAGTTCCTTAAGCTGTTTATTAAAGGAAAAAGGCCTTGTGCAGATCATTAAAAGACATCGATACTGTGCAGAGTCCTCGGGGGTACGTATCTGCATATGTGGATAAAATAAACATACTTCAATGACAGCGTCTCGAAACATTAATTTTAATGGCCTAAAACAATAGTTTCTTATAATTTATCTTTGTGTTCTTACACATATATGCCATTTTGGTTTATTACTATCGTTCACAGTTATTTGAAATTTGCCACATTTTTAATGGAGTTATTAGCTGCATTTGTACAATAATTGTAGACCAAACTCCATACTAGCATCTGACAAACCTTCTGTATTAATTATTATAGTTATGTTGTTACCCATTAAATTAGGGCCATCCGGTATAGACCCGACGTGTCCCGTTCAATTCCATCCCTCTTCGTTACATTAGAAATTATTCGTGATGTATTTTGAATCAAAATACAAAAACAATGCGAATAAACAAACTTCCTTCTGGTCCCTGTCAATAGAACACGCACCACAGAGAAATTGAACTTCATTTAAATATTGTAATTAGCGTCATTATACTCACTGCGTAAACGAAATCCATTGATGTCTTTGTATAGCCTCTGAGGTCTAGGTCTACTGGAATATGATCGATACGTGGCGGTTCGTAAATTTTCCATTCTTCAAATTAAATCCTAACCTCAAAAAGCTTGGTTCAGTTGCTAATGGCTCAGCTGTGTGACTTCATTGTACCTATCATGAACCCCAAGTATTGCAGGAATCTGCACGCACATTAGCATTCTAATTTGTTTAGTACTCAACTAGTAGGTAGGTAACCCATCTTAAGTTCAAGTGAGATTTCTGATATGTTTGATTTTACTATTTACTTCAAGCTTATTAATTGTATCTTCTTGTATTTCCTTTTTTTTTTTATTCGAAAGTTCGATCACGTCCTGAAAATGTAATTTAACCCACCGCGTCATTTCATTTATTGAAATAAGTTGTCTGCATATCAAAGCTTTGTGTTGGTTTTTCCTTATCGACAGACTGCACGAATTAGTGTTCGTTGTCACAGTCAGCTTCTCCAAAAAAAAAAAAAAAAAAATCGATTCTCTTAAGAATCTGGCATTCCTTCAAAGGAATTCAAAGAGTATTTATGAGTTTGTGATGCAGGAACACTGCACACTTGATAGTTACATTTTCGTATTGCTAACATTTAATAATATCTTCTTCATTATCAATACAAGTTTCACTTGAACCCTCATTCACAGTCGGTTTAAAAATATCCTTTTTCCCAGACTTTGGATTGAAACCTTCTAACGACATTTTCAAAGTCTTAATAATTTTTTTTTTCCATCATATTTATCCCGAGTTTGTGCTTGTATTTTCAAAACAATAATATCACACCAATGGCCTCTCAGTATTATTTATGACGTATCACGAACAAGCTCCTCCCCTCTTAACTGCCGATATGATTAACTTATGTAAGAGAAATCCTGTCTCTGAATTATCGTGAGCTTTCGAGCTGTCAGACTTTTGGAGCTGCTCGAGGGTGCATGGGTACTGTGGCACGAGGTCAGAGGTCATTGACCATAGACGTCACTGGCGCCATTTTCGACGATTATCGGTCAAATTTAGCGAAAGCGACGGAATTTTAATGCTCTGCGTATATTTGCTAACTTATGGCAGTTATGATAAATGCCATTTTTGTTATGTTAATCATATACAGTTCCTCTTTGCACACAAATCATAAAATTAACACATCTGCGTGTGCCAGAGACATTACATCATAGAGAAGTTTGCACGTAACGTAAAATATGCGTATCCCGAAAGTTAGCAGCGTTGATGCTGAATATTTTTCGATACAATGAATGTGAAACTGGGCACAAAAGTTGATGCTAATATGATGATAATAATATTTTATGTAAAAACTGGAAGCATACTAGTGCATTTAACCAATAATTAATTTGACAATGTAAAAGGATTTATTTAAAAGTCAATAAAAGTCAACGAATACTATTGTGATTAACTACAATGTATTAGGTCCATTTATGATTTAGAACAATTGTATCTAACGGTGAATTAATGGTGTTTATGAAATGAATTGCTTAAAATGTGGTAACGGGAAGGCTCATATGTAATTTTATTATGGCATGCGAATTTCAGAGACGTGTTCTTAAATCGTGAGGTTACACACCTCCCTGACGTGAAATATAAATTCATTTCAGCTTCCCGATTGCAAGAAATTAATACAAATGCCAATGAAACATATAAAACACGTTTGTTGCAAATCGTTCGCGGGTTTCGTTCATAACCGCAATTCCATCCTTCTGAGGCCCAACTTTACATAAAAAAATGGTTGTCCGCGATCCATAATGTTTTATATTTCTGGCTGAGGGGAGTATTAAAACCTGTTGCCTTGTATCTGTGCAAATATAATGTACAGTTAACAAATTTATTGAACCTTCTTTAACGACACTGCTTCAGATACAAAAGTGTCGACTAAGATAGAGGAATTAGCATGAAGGAGAGTAGATAAGGATTCAAAAGGAGGCGATCGTGGGTTATGAGAAGACACTGCACTGGCATTCACCCGGAGTGACGTCTTGAACCTCATCTGACCGAGATACAAACAGAGTACCTGGTGGATGGCAGTGTTGTAAAGTGTTAAGTCGACATCATTCTAGTTGTTGGAGGTGAAGGGACTTTTGCTGGTACAATAAATTCAGCCGAAATTTAAAACGTGTTATTCCTTTTAATGATTCTAGTATGATTCATATTTGTGGTTGCAATTATGTAGATGAAGTGTGAATAAATAGATCATGGCGTGCTCCAGAAGCAGAGTGTGACGTCACGTGATGTGGATCGGCGCAGTTAGAAGCCGCCGTGGCCGTGTTCCTCGCCACCGCCGAGGGTAAAGCTGCTGTAGCTCTCAGCTTGCCCGTGCTGTTCCTCACCGCCACTGCTCAGACCCCCCTCGTGATGAGATACGTAAATTGGGACTTTCTTCTCGACGTACACAGGATGAGGAACGGGGACGGGTTTAGGGACATGCACGGGGTAGGGTTTGAGAACCTCGACGTGGTGAGGCACGGGATACGGTACTTTGACGGGGACCTTAACCTCGTAAGGTACCTTTCTCTCTACAGTATATGGCACCTTCTTCTCCACCACAACCGTGTAGGGCTTGGGTACCTCTACGGGATAAGGCCTAGGGACGGACACGTGAACAGGGACCTTAACTTCATAAGGGACCTTCTTCTCGACGGTGACAGTGTAGGGCTTAGGGACAGGATACGGCACCTTCTTGGTAATTATGATGGTCCGCACGTGTTCTTGTTCTTGTTCTTCGCCGCCGTCGAAGCTTCCCCCGCCATAACTATACTCTTCAAGGCCGCGCTTCTGCTGTTCAGTAGCTGCAAGTCCGAAGAGCGCCCCCAGCAACGTGCACGCCTGGTAAACAAGAATTGCACACACAATTTTCGCAAAGAATATAGCAAGATAATATTGCAATTGGTCGTAAGATAATGCTTTGAGAATGAGAAGTGGATTTAGCTGGATGATGATCTGTGGAAGCAGGGTCTGGTTATGCTGCTGATATTTTTGGACGAACTGTATCTCATGTTACTAATGCTGTCGTTCGTTAAATTGTGGTTGTTCGATTAAAAACGTTTTATTCAGCAGGTCGATTATGGTTGAGATGGCGTAAACGAATATGTATTGTCAGGAAACCGAAGAAAGAAATAAAATGTTTGAAGATGTCTCTCTGAAACGTCGGTAAACGGCCGTGAAAACCCCAAATCCTACAAGAAAATATTTGACACCTGCAGTCGTTTACATTCATCAGCTGTTTAATACGAAATGTGTAGTTCAGTCTTCTGACAGATTTGTGCATGAAGGCGACAAGACGTTCTGATAATAACTGAAACGTGAAATTCTGAAGTTTGTATAGAGTTTAGCAGGAATTACAGAACAGCAATCAATAAAAATCCTTCTGCGTCTGCGAAGACTGTCTATTTACGATGAGATTTCCCGTTCAACAAACACTTTTATTCATCAAAGACAAGGACGGCACACCACAAAATTTCGCCTCACGAAATTATACCTGGCCATAAATGTGTATGTACATAAAATTCCTTTCACCACAAAACATAACACGTGCTGACTAACACTATCAACGATGAACCAGTGTGTGTGTGTGTGTGTGCGCATGCGTGAATTACGAATTATAATTGAGAAAGTTAAAATATTGTCTTTTTATAACTATAACTTGGGAATGTACATTTTTGTAAAGATTCGGGGCACGCCTGACACCTTGTGGCGAAAACAGTGGTCTACAAAACAGTTATGATATAAAACGAACACTAATACCAATCGATTTTCTCACAAAAATTATTTATACGGTTTTCAATCGATCTGAATACCAAACTTGACATCCCTTACTGCTGTGGTTCTTGTCACCAGGTAGAAAATTTTTCGGAAATTTCGCAATGTCGCCATTAACTTATTGTTAGTTCCATAAAGATATACTGTTTAAGAATTCTGCCTATTTTTAAGACCAATTTTCTGGTTGGACTTAAGAACTCTACATTATTTTAACTTCATTGTCACTTCCACCTCAGATGTTTGCCAAGTTGATGTTTCTAATGGCAGGAAAGCAGGAAGTGCGGAGGTGGGACTGAATCTAGTAGCAAGATCTTCATACCAAATTTCATCCATTTCTATCATTTAGTTCAAACGTTGTTGGGAATAGACACACGGACATAATTATACCACAAGCGTAATATACAAGGGTTCAGTCTATTAAAAGTAACAAATCGTATTATGTAAGTGGTAAGACTTAACTAAGATCTTGAACAATATCAGCACAATCTGCATTTATATTCCATGTACGGTACTTAACTTTACAGCATTAAATAAAAAGGATATGAAAGATTGTCTTCGTGTGTTCTCTGATCAAGGTGTCTGTTAGTTTGGTATGCATAATGATACAGAGCAGAATATCAGAAACTTTTAATTTGTTTAGCAATATTATAGACGTTTCAGTGGTTATAATTTATTAATATGGAAAAAAAGATGCGTACTATAAAGCCACTTTAATCCCAGCCCCAGATTAAGGTTGTGTAGCTAAAAAGATTATTACAAACGAGCCTCTGACGACCGAGTTGTGGAGTTATAACCTTCGATATCTACCGTAAAACAATTGTTTCTATGAGTTAGTGGGGCCGCATTGGCACGATTTAGTAAGTCCTGAGTTTCTTCTTTCAATATAACGTGCTCTGCATGAGCAGAAGAGATAAGATTACACACGATTATCGAAAAGTCACACAACTCATTCCGGACACATGTTATATTTGTCAAAAAAATATTTAAATCAGAAAACAAATATCAATTCGTGTTGGGACTGTACACCGCGTTCACAGATGCATGCTTTTTCGTCATGTCTGACCCAAGCCTGTAAAGGTTAGGTTCCTTGTCACGGAAAAAATTAACCAGACGAGATATTATCGATTTGATTGACACACAGGAGAATCGATAAATGTATCTCTAAACTCATCCTAGCAAGATAAGTAAGAAATATGTGAGGTTATGTTCGTCAATGAACACTCGTAGCACTTAGAGAAAAGGACATCCTTGCACTTCGAGTGTTAAAAGACAACTGACGGGCTGGCGCGAGCAGGTTACATCACGTGACATGCGCGGGCTCTTGTATAGTCACCGCGGTATTTCGTGTTTTTACTCCAGTCTAATTAAAACCATCAACAAATATTTTAATACCGGTTGGGTGATTTTTCGAACATTCTGTAACCTAGCATTACGTTGTGAATATATTAGATTTAAATTTGATTCTCAGTTAGCACACAAATATTTAAAATAACTTTTTCCCCTCAGATTTGTTACTTATCTCATGTCATTCCTTACTGCGACTTGTTTCAGAGCTAAATTTTCCTATTATCATAAATTATTAGCGAGTTTTTGGTGTCATTAATACTTATTACTAATTAAATTAATAAGTTATTTATTGTAAGTTGTGTAAAGATTGTGAATCAAATTCAAATCTAACATACAGCTAAGTCTGCTTTAAGCTCAGTAAAACTTATTTATGTTATCTTACATAATAACGAACGTATCAGTAATGTTATGCTGTGGATATGAATGTGTGAGTTCCTTTCCATGTACAGTTGTGTATGAGACTAAATGAATGAATTAATGAACTTACGGTAAGCAGCTTCATGTCGTAGCGAGACTGTTGTGACAGCTGGCGCTCGTTCTGGCTTATATACGGCAAGCACACTCCCATTCCGACGGCCACTTCACTTTCGCGCTCCCAGCTACTCCTTCTTTTTTCCTTTCCGGCAAGATTTTTCCTCTGCTAGTCAAACTTACGTGTTAAAAACATACGGATTTCAACTCAGTTACCTCCTTTTTCCCCTCCAACGAAAAATGTTTCCAATCCAGAGGAATATTGTTTTAAGCTATGGACCTCTTCTTAGAACCCAAGCTCAAATAATGTCAAGGATATTAATATTTATTGTGATGTATTTTTGCTCTATTTCAGTGTGAAAGCTCGGACGGTTAGGCGCCATATTCTTTCTGTCGACGCTGGGGTTCGATTATGGGATATCTCAAGGTAAAGTGACATTGTGTTTTTTATCTTTGTCAACAACTGTTGCATTTGACGACAGGCCGAACAGCCGGCATTTCTTCTGAATCAATCTTCAGTTGGGAATTCTTGTCTGGAATATTCCCATTTCGCTTATGGCATTATCAATTCAGTATTGAAAGTTAGCTTTCGATAATCTTTGTCTGTCCTTCACACTTCAAAGCTACTGAGTACATTCGCTTAGCGTGTGCTTCTCTAGGCTTGCGGTCGGAGGGTACACAGTTTACATGTAGACGATAACTGGGTTTGCCCAAAATAGCGTGTCATTGAATTTTAAGCTCAACACTTGCCCTCTTCCTGGAAAATAAGTACGTTGTGGAAAGATTAAAATTTATAACATTTAATTAAAAATATATTTATACAACATCGATGCAGATAAGGAAACGATAGAAATGTTCATAAAGTTTCTCCCGAAGTAGTTGTTGCGTCCTCTTGTCAGTGGTCCGGATATTCTCGTCAAACATCTGTTCTGTCGGACCCTTTCTCCCTTAGGGTCAGGGACCAGCTACGGTGACGTTTAAATTTCTGAAGATTTCCGACAGCATTCCCCGAACTTTACCACATTTTGGAAGCGTTCGTAATCTGTCTTTTTATTCTGTTCACGATAGGAAAGCTTGGATTTCCACCAAGGGCGTGTAGTTGAGTAAATTATCAGTTCTGTTGAAGCACTAAGCTCAGAGGAGTTGGTTACGGGAATAATTTCGTGGCCCCACAAGTGCAATGCCGTTAAAAGTTGCCCTGATCGTAATAATCTCAACCCTCTTCTTTTCCATTGGAGTAAAACGTCTAATCTTTTGTGTTTAAATTACACTACTTAAACTCGTTCACAACACAGGGATGTCTAGGGCCAGTGTTGTGACCGACAGGTATAAAGTGACTGTATTGTGGATATGCTCCTGAGGATGGCAGAGTGCCAGTCGAAGGATGCTGTGCACAGAATGTATGTTTACGTTTAATGGTGTAAGTGCGTGTAGTTTGCACTTCAAAAGATCCCGTGTTAACATTTCGGGGTGAGTGACATGTCTTCACAGAGGTCACTCTTATTTCCTCCAGGCAAATTCCAGACAATTTTCTTAAGTCTGGTCACTACCGATACCTGTCTTAATATAAGGTCGACATTTCTGTTCCTCAGTCTCAACTCAAATGATCGCGGTTGTATTTTAATGGACAGCCTAAAACATATTTTGGAGAATTTGGTTTCTGTTTCATTAGGCTCAATGTGACTCCCACTTACTTTCCACTTGAACGTGGTTTCGTACAAAGTCTCGTCGTTCCAAACTGTAAATACAATGTAATAATCTGCCACTCATTCATTTAGGGTCTGACGTAAAATGCACCCTACAGCCTGAAGGTAGGGCTTGAGGTTACGCTCTACAGATATCTGCTGATATCAGCACATTTTGGATGCTGGTAACATAGTTACAGTTCTCCAAAGATGTGCAGCTACTTTTGACTTATCCCGTATAATATCAAGGATGTCAGGAGTAGAATTGTAATCGTTCAGGAGTGAAACCCTTGTTGCGGTCAGCCTAGAATTCTGGTTCGTGTGCTTCGCATTGATACTCCGTCGCGTTCGGCTCCATCTTGAGCGGCGTACGCCACCAACAGCTTCATTGATCTGGTCGTCAACACTGCGTGGATGGCAGTATCATCCAGGTCTCTTCGTTTATCGGAGCCATGACTTTGGTCTCAGAATTCGCGAAAGTCCAATCCAGAACCGTACACCGTCATCCACCTGAGGGAAGTGCTTCGTCGACTCAGGTGTGTGAAGTGGTGTTTCTTTGCGTGACTCTGAAGACCAGCTCTCGATAATATTTGGGCTATCACCGTCGAGTCGATTCATGAGAAACGTACCTCAAACAGTTGTGTCATAGTAAACTGAACGATGTTTCAAAGCGATGTTCGAAAAAAAAACAACTCATTCTTACTAACAGCTAGAACATATTACTGCGTTTTCAAACTTAAACATCTGATATAAATCATCGTAGTTTATGGAAGGAAGACAAACGCCTAATATGGGCAAACACAAGGCAAATTACATAATGAATGGAATTAAGAGAAAGCTCAGCGTTTACATCACTTCCGGTTTGGGACCTAGAAAATTTGAAGCTCTTAATTTTTGTTGCGAAGTGAGTATGTTAGTGTGAGAAAGATTTATGATGAGCATTTTTCATTGACGACACCACAACATCAACTGAGTTCTTCGACGCGAAGTTAGCTGATGTGTGTAACACCTTAGTTTGGCAGCTCGGAAGGCACTTTTGCCGACCAGTGGTTGTCTGAAGTCACCCACGTTTAACCAATGAGGACTGGTGGCCAGCAACACAGACGAGGCTACCCCTAAGAAAAATCTAATTATCCCACTTCATACTTTTTAAGCCAAGGCTTGCCAGTTCCAGCAATGCGAATATAAAACGAGAAATTCTTTAACCTAGCGAGGGTCGACGTCTTTCTCTGGCGCAAGACTTCGCCCTTAGTTACATCCTTGGTTGGTTGCCCTGAGGGTGGCGGCTGTTTATATGTCGAAATGTTGGAAGACTTTCTAAACATTCGAAGCTACTGACACTGATGCTTTACATTCTACACTACCAGCTACGCGGCTGTATACTCGTATTTTGACTTCCGGGGTGCAATATCTCGGTCAGTCTTTTAGTTGTTCAATTTTTCATTTAGTATTTCCGTTTGAGGCAGCCATATAAAATTTTGGTGTTACGAAACTCTTATTATACACGCCTTATTTTCTCTCATAAGCTCCCATACTTTATCATCAAATTTATCTTAGGTTATGCATTCACACTCAGAACAATGATAAAACACCAGCGGCCTTTTAATATTATACAGAGTCAATTCCCCCTGAGTTTATAATTTTTGCAGTCCCGCGAAACAACTTACACACTTATGATTAAGCTAGTCCTTATTTCGTGCTACAGTGGATGGTCTTTCTTATTACAGTGTTTTTACAATGGCTGTTATCAAGCAAACCAGCAGCTGGTTCTTAATCGATTTATACTCAGTATTATGTACGAAGAATCTTGTCCCTAGGTTATGATCAGCATTCCCCAGTTACGCAGAGCAGTGTATAACTTATTCTTGTTTAGTTCCACATTTGTCTCATATAGTCTCCTGTGCACTCACTAAATCTAATGTTTTGCTAATTAATTCACTTGTTAAGTATTCAAGTAACCTGACCTACTGAGACTCCTGACGTTTCAATTTTGAAACACCATGTTCAGTCTCCGTCGTACCGAAAAGTCCATCCAAATCCTTTCAGAGTTATTTTGCATAACACGTGGAGTGAAAGGGAGAGTTTAGTATTGCCTCGTTGCTGTTCTGAAGCCAGTACTTTTGAGTTTGATAATTCCGTGCGAGACAGGAATAAAGTTCAGCCACTCACCTCTAATTAAAAAGTATACGTATTTCCTCATGTAATGTCTGATGATTACATAACGACCCGTCACCAACCATAACAACTCGCTCCCTGTCTACATAACACGAACACGCGGGAGAAACACTTCACAAGTCGTCCGTGGCAACACGTAATTAATTCCCCTCGATTAATTACAGATTCTGTTACGTGTCATTAGGCTTCATAATGAAGCTGTAATTAATAGCGCGAGTGATAGAAAGATGTCACGAGAAAGTGACGTCATAAGAGGGCGATTGAGAGAAGTTGTCAGAGGAAAAAGTTTTGATTTGGTGCAAAGAAACTGGAGTCGGGGCCTTAAACGTAGTTCGAAATAGCGGAAGGAATAATAAAGACGCAGATTAATAAGGCGGTGGGATGGGAATTTTATTGCGTAGAATAAATAATGTGAGAGAGAGAGAGGAAGTTGTGTAATTAACGCGGTGTCGTGACATACTTTATACAGTGACGAAAACATGCTTTTACGTAGTTTCCTCTGACGTTATTTGTTAAAAATCAATCTGAAAGTATTCGAAGGCTAAAGCGGATGGTAATTCAGACAGCAGGTGGATTTGATTCTATTTTTTGGAGTTTACTTAATGAAACGCTGCGATCTCGTGATAATCAATTAATATTAGGTTCCTCACATTCGATCATGATTGCGTTTGAATGTTGCTGAAACTGTTTGTATGGCATTCGCGTGCTGATGGAAGAGGAGGTTCCTGCGGTCGCGTCACCCGCGATGACACTACTGCAGCTTTCGGTCTGGCCTACCTCCGCCTTCGTCGGAGCTGTCATCGTGCTGAGAGACGTAGACACCTTCTCCCTTCATGCAAGGGGCAACGGGACATGGTTACGGAGCCTCGGCGTAGTTACTCACGGAGACCTTAACCTCACAAGGCACCTTTCGGATTACTTAATCCCCGAAGGAAGTTTTCCTCTATGGAACTGTCAGGAAGCTGGTTTGGCCAGACGGTCACTCTAGACAGAGAGGCTCAGAGAACTCCGGATGACTCGGCAGCCAATCGAAATGCTGTCTGCCAGGTACTAGAATTTCCAAGCACAAATCATGAGGTCATTGCCACTGGCCTTAATGTAAGCTCATGTTCCGTGAAGGAAACTCGCCTAAAATGAGCCCCCCATCATAACTCACTTCGGTTTAGCTGTAATAATCCGGTTTCGGTTCGAACTTAGCTCGATATAATTATCTGGAAGTAATATATATATATTGACACTTTAATTATTAATTACTTTATGTTACTGGTCAGTTTTATCGTATTTATGAAAGCATTATTATTTTAACAGAATGGCTACATTATCAGACCTCCGCGTGCCTAATAAATGTACCTCCTTGTGAGATTCTAAAATAAGTCATGGCCCATATTTTTTCCAGGTATAAAGGTTGTTGTGGTCAGACGTGTTTGTGGTGAGTTCCTGAGTAAGGGTAGACAATGGGCTGTTACCTGGTGGACTACCGGGCGACAGTGGGTAGCTGGACCGGGAGATGCATGTGGCGTGGCGTCTCTAGGCGTAGTGACGCTATCCAAACGACTGGACGGACACTGCATGGGATTGACGTTGCTGAATTCAGTGGTTTTAGCTGTTTTACTAGTGATTGGAGAAGTGGAAAGTAATCCGTGTACTGGTTGCGGCAGGAATCTAAGGTCGGGAATCCAATGTGAATCATGTGGACGCTGGTATCATTATAGTTGTGGGAACGTGAAGGCTCAAGGAGCTGGAAGGGAGAAGTTGCTACTGGCGGGAACTGGGAACAGGAATATAGTGCCGGAAAAACAAATGTTTGCAAAGTGCATGGTGATGGGTGACTCAGTGGTGCGCAATGATATGATGGTGGAATGTTTTCCGGGGATTAGAACTGATTAGTTACACAGAAGGATAGAACAGAGGTATCTTGGTAGTCCAGAAACCGTTTTTATTCACGTAAGTACGAACGACTTAGGAACAACGAGAAACCCGGACTTTGTAATGGGAGAAGTGAATGCGCTGATGGCTACGGTAAAGATTAAATGTCCGAACTGCAGGCCTGTCCTGTAGAGAAGTGTCATGGCGTCCTATTGGTCCTCTTAATGATAGATTCGACTGGGTTTCAAACGTCCTTGGAATTACATCTTTTAATCAGAAAAGCTGGATACAGGAAGGGGATTTCGCTGGGGGATGGACTGCATCTGAATGGACGAGGAAGGAGACGACTTGGACAACTGTACGCTAGGTTTAGTGGACTTGATGGTGGAGGATCGGCACGGAGGAAGACGTGACACGTTTTGGTGGATGGCACTCACAGAACGAGGACAACCAAGGAAACGCGGCATTCACCAACTGGACAACAGAAGGCTTTGCATGAAGTAAGAACAGAGACGAGTAATAATAACAATACGGAACGTTTAGCTTATACGTCGTTAGTGAGACCGATATTTGAACATGGAGCTGTGTGTTGGGACCCATACAGAGGGCAGGTAAGAGCCCTAAACAGGGTGCAGAAGAGAGCGGCTAAATTTGCAAAATACACGAACGAATCTGGTTGGGAAACATCGGCACAGCGTAGAATGATAGCCCGAATGTGCGCCTTTTCCAAAGCAAACAACGGTGGCCGGGCTTGGAAAACGATAGGGGATAGATTACTAAAGCCATGCTACCTGGGCAGGGACGATCATACTCTGAAAATTAGGACTAGGAAACAAAGAACGGATGTAGGCAAATATTCCTTTGTAAATAGGACCATTAGAAGCTGAAACCAATTACCTCCAGGCGTGCTAGAGTCTTTCCCCTGTAAATTAGGCACCTTTAGAAAGAGGGCCAGAAAAGTAGTTACAATCAAAGGGTTATTAAGTGGGGATTAGATGGTGATAAGGGAAGTGAAGTGTCTTAGTCTCGTAGTTCTTTGGGATAAGATTTTCATGTACTGAGGGCGGACTTTGTATTTGAGTTTACTCTAAAGTATTGAGATTTCTTAAAGGATGTGTGTTTTTGAAGGGTGGTTTTTCTAGTTATGTGTGTAGGGTGTTCTATGGAATGTACTTGTCTTTATTGTATGTATTTTGTTGTAATTGTGTAGTGTAAGGACCACTGCCACCGGATTCAAACCCAATTGCAGTAAATAAATTATAATAATAATAATGAAGACATGGATTCCTATTCGAAAGTCGTTCTCTCTGAGTCCCTCTATATGCTCATTCAGTTTGGCCCTAACCTTTTGAATCCACCTATATAGGTCAGAGGTATTCAAACAGTAGCTCACGAGACGTATGAAGCTCTCAGGAGGTTTGGTCGTGTTTTGTTTCGGGCTGTGTTTTTCGTAAAGAAACTATTTCGAACAAAGATTTATTTTTGTCCACACACTGAAAAATAAAGTACGAAAAACTGCATGGTTGTTATTAATAATGTAGTTAACAAAACTACGTTCTTCTGATTATAATGAGATGTCGAACGTGAGAACGTGACACTGAGTCTCCTTTTGTAATGTGTTGTCGTCAGAACGTTAATATGTTAAGCATCATCTGCGATATGTGAATAGACACTTTCTTGTGGATGGGTTTACTTTAAAATCTTAACTTTCTTTTTCCAAAATAAAACGGGCCTTAACTCAAAGATTACGCGTTCAAGGCCAGTGTTTGCATATATTACTTTAGTTTATTTGTGCATAGAATTATGTCCCAAAATGTCACTCTTGTATTTCACATCTGTTTATGATACATATCTGTATTAAATACAGACATAAATAACATATCAACCTTTAAAGGCGTATAAGTGAATACTTATTGTATTTATGAAACTCATATAAGATTACAAGTATAAATCGCACCATGTAGGCTTGCGAAATTCACGTATCAACAGTGGTTTTAACAATACTTTAAAGTGTAATAATATATTGTATTATAATAAGCACATTATAATGACCCACAGAGATGTAATATGGAACCACAAATTTCTTAAGTACAATTTATTGAGACTGAGCAATTTTACAGAAGCAAATGTGTCGCACAAATTTTTCATATGCCATGAAGTGATTATGGTTATGAATGTGATCAGGAGACTTGAGTGTTGGTAAAATGAAATTATGACAGTGATGGAAGTGATGATTTGATAATGATGATATGATGATAAAAAAATTGCTTCTTATCAATGGATCTAATATGAGTCACCGATGTAACCATAGTTACTGTGACTTGATTCGAAGCCGAGACCCTCAAGTCCCACGTAGCTATCGTCATGGTTCTTGAGGTAAACCGGGATTTTCCTCTCGATATAAACTGGGTGAGGGACAGGGACTGGTTTAGTCACGTGAACAGGGTACGGCTTAGGGACATGGACAGGGTGAGGGACTGGGTACGGCACCTTCACAGGGACATTCACAGGGTAAGGGACCCTCTTCTCCACAGGGTAAGGGACCTTCTTCTCCACGTACACGGGGTAAGGCTTGGGAACCTCGACAGGGTAGGGCTTCTCAACTTTGACCTCCACAGGGACCTTCACAGGATACGGGACCTTCTTGATGACCTCGACAGGGTATGGCTGCGGGACCGGCACTTTGATTTCCTTGGTGATGATGATGGTCTTGACGTGTTCGTGGTTCTCACTGATGCCGGGGCCACCCCCGAAGCTGAAACCACCCTCGTAACCGCCGTACCCCAGCTCCTCTATCCCCCTCTTCTCGTGTCTTGCCGCCTTCTCATCGGCAATTGCTATGCCCGCGACAAGGAAGACCACGATCTGAAACGAAGTAACAGTTACTTCGCCATTACTGCGAGCGGGGTCATTACTTCGCCCACTTTACAGCACACACAGCGTGCTATTTTTAACACGTTGACATCCAGCCCAGTCATTGGTGGGGTTTTTCACACTTCACGTCCTGAATAATTATATAAATATCAGATAAAGCTTCTATTGATGCGTTTTGTCCGCATTCCTCAGTCAAACGCATCATTGGCGTCCTTCATTAAGCCTGACGGTAAACGCTGATAGTGAAAAATACTGACGAAATTATAAAAATATGAAGATATCCGTCTTCTGGGTTATTGCGCTGTGTAGTCTGGTCGATGTTAACCAACGTTTCAGAGGTCATACTGCCTCCATCATCAGGGCGATGAGTATGAAGATTTCTGTCTTCTGGGTTGTTGCGCTGTGTAGTCTGGTCGATGTT